GTGTGCATTAATAACTGGTCGGAATGGAATCACTTGGACCAATGCTAATCATTTGCTTAATTGGAGACACAATGGAGCTCATTGGTTATACCACTCTAAGCTGCAGCCTGGCCTTTCTGGACATCAAACTCAGGGATAAAACCTTAAAAATACATTCAAGTACCTTAACTATTAACAACAATGTATCTTATTTGTGTATCACTCGGCTGTAGATCCTCCAATCATCTCTGAATTTGTGCTGACACTGTTCTTCCTTCTGGAGGGGGGCTACTTTTGTTCCCCATGGTCCCTGTGTGTGTTGGAAAGTAGTCACCGCTCCAAGCTTGCTCTCAGGATGGACTACAATCTCAGTAGAAATGAGTAAACCAATCATGAGATTGTAGTTCATCCCGGGAGTGAGCTTGGAGCTGTGACTACTTAAAAAAAACCCACAGGGACCATGGGGAACAACAGTAGCCCCCTCCAGAAGGAAGGACAGTGTCGGCACCAATTCAGAGATGATTGGAGGATCTACAGCCGAGTGATACACAAATAAGATACATTGTTGTTAATAGTTAAGGTACTTGAATGTATTTTTAAGATTTAACTCCTGAGTTTAGTTTCACTTTAAGTAAAGATGGTTCGGGAGGGTCCTGCCCTTTTAAAGCTTACAATCTAAAAGATATTCATTACTATCAACATTTTGCTTTCCATCTGTAGGGAAACCCTTTGACAACTCTCAGAGTATAAACGCAGCAGTCGGAAACATCATCGTGTCTATTGTCCTTGGACATCGCATGGATTACGGAGACCCCACCTTTAGGAGACTTCTGAGGCTGACAAATGAGAACATTCAGCTTGCTGGATCACCGACGGTTTCAGTAATGTATTTTCTGTAATATTTAACTAGTGAGATACAGGGCAAAAGTTAAGACTTCACAAGGTAATGTTTTGTAGGTAATATGAGACTACTGGGCAATCATGGTCACGAAGAACAGAAATTTGGAATTTTAGATAAAATCTGATAAAGTGGAACTAAATGCATTTGTTCCTGCAGAAGAGACCACTGCTCATTAATATTGTTAGCAGTCTGTAATCAAATTGTCCAAACTCTGTTGGTTTGGGTCATTTTTGCAATTGACTGCTAACAGTATTCATTTAAATAAAAATAATCTATATTTTCATAACAACCTCATGAGCAACCAAAAAGGTCAATTGGGCTGTTAGTTGGACAACCATGATATATGGGATCCAGTAGTGATGGCCAACTTGATATGGAAGATAGAGGGTGCTGTATGAGATTGAAGGTAATTTATTATGTGCAAGTTGACATGTTGGAGATCAAACTATCTAGTGAGCTCCTTATCTTAGATAGTGAAGCACATAGGCCTCAGAAAAATCTGCTTTATTGGCTAAATTTTGTCATCAATTTTAGTATGCTATCACTTGTCCCATTAATCAAGTGGTTATTGGTCATAGTTACTGCTCCAAGAAATGATGGAATTGTTATTCATTGCTAATTGAGCACTTTTATGGACATTTAGTAGAAACATAAAATATAAGCAGTATTATAATCGCCATATGTTACTTATGTTGTGTAAACATTACCAGTATTTAGAGGGTGGCAATGTTTACCTCTACTCGGACCTGGGTCTTCATCCCGCTCTGCGAGCATTAGTAGTAGAACTTCTTCTTTCTTTTCCTTCCTTCCTTCCTTCCTTCCTTCCTTCCTTCCTTCCTTCCTTCCTCTCCTTCCTTCCTCCCCCCCCTTTCCTTCTTCCTCCCCCCCTCTCCTTCCTCCTCACCCCTCTCCTTCTTCCTTTTTCCTCCCCCAAAGAAGAACACCTCATAAATCCAACTTTATTGTGAAAAATTCCAAGTAAAACCCAAGGTCAAATGATCTATGATTAAGCCCAGGTGGTGAAACGCGTGGTAGGCGCTGGTGTGGGAGAGACACCATGGTGGTGTATTTGTCATGATACATTTAATTTTGGATTGTACCTGGAATTTATCACAATAAAGATGGATTTTTATAGATACCGGT